CCCTCTGGTCAGCGCCAGCACAGGCCAGCGTCTCTCCCGTGCCCCTGCGGCGCAGACAGGCAGGGGTGCCCGTGCAGAAGCCCAGCCGCCTGGCGCAGCAGGCACGGCAGGGCTGCTGCTGTGCCAGCAGCCTCCTCAGGCCTCCCAGTCCAGCAGGACCGGAGGCCGGCCTTCAGTCGCTGCCAGAGCTCTCCGCGCCATGTGCAAGGCAGACGGGAAAGCAATCCCAGCACACTCGTTTAATCAGAGTTACGCAGTGGCTTCCTTACGCTACCGAATACTTTAAATATTTCTATCAAACACAGAGCATATAAAATTCTTTCGGGGTCAAGTGTAAACATATGGTACATGGAAAGGTTTAAAATGAGTTATGATGACATTTACCCTTTGCCCTGTTACAGAGGTCAAGACCTGACTTGATTTGGGTGAAGAAAATGAAAAAAATCCCATTTCTTTGATTAAATAAACTAAAAACAATTGGCCAAGATTATCAGCCTTAAGACTTAAATGTGCGACCCTAGGAATGCTTATTCCTCCTCCAACAGACAAAAGGACCTCGCGTTTACTCTGATGGCTCTAGGAAGGCTCTCCCCGCGGGGCCAAGCCAGGGCACTCACAGCTCAGCACGGGCGCCAGACTCAGGGCGGGAAGTGCTGCTTCGGCCCTTCCTCCCCGTTCCGCCCCGCTGTGCAGGGAGGCCGACTCTCTTCCAGGACAGAATTGCCAACAATCTGAGACGTGACACTGAAGTGACGGGTCGGGGTCAAGGTGACAGCTGGCACGCTGGAGGAAGCACTCGTTGCCAGAGTAACTCAGATCACAAATCAGGAGAGACGCTTAGGCCTGTGCACTACGTGAAGTGCCAGGTCAGAAACAAAAGTGAGGCCCTGCATCACGGGGCCCGGGAGGAAGAGGGCCGGAGTTCCCAGCCAAGGCCCGCAGAGGCGGCTGAGGAAGAGCCGTCTGCTGGGAGCTTAACTGCGAATCCCGCAGGGGGCTCCAGGTTTACTTCGTGGTAACTGGGTATTTACACGAGAAATGATGAAAGCCAACGCAGAAGCATGAGGAAAAACAGGCCTACTGGAGAAAGGCCACTCTGGCCTACTTTAAAAAGAATGAGCTTAAAGCCATTTACCAAAAGGCCACAAACTGAACTAAAAGAAGCAAAGCCAACGATGAGAAGTTGGAGGCGGCAGAGCAGACACATTCGCTGTAACGGGAACGTGAAGGGCCTGCATTCGGCAGGAAAGAGGGTCACTGGCTGGATTAAAAAGTACAGCCAATGCTTTCTCCAGCAGTGCCAGCGCCTTCGGGGGCGGGAGGTGATGCCAGGGCACGTGGGGAGGGAGGGGCTGCGGCAGAGGGGATGGGTGGGGCTGGCCTGCAGGCTCAGCGTGCAGACCCTTGGCCCCGGGGCCCTGGCCGTGACACCACCCAGGAGGCCAGGCCGGGAACAGGGCACCCAGTTCACCAGGACAAACTTCACCCGCCCCTGCCAGCCCCTCTGGGGAGCCCTGCCTGGTCCCAGGACCCGAGCTGCCTGCCTCCTCTCCCCCTGCCCTGCTGCTCCAGGAGGGTCTGCGGTGTCACCCGGCTGGCTGTGAGGCTGGGACCCAGCCCTCCTGCTGGAGACGCTCTTGTCTCCCTCCTCAGGTCCACGTGTGTCACACAGCGATAGTGGTGTCCTTCAACCAAACTGAAGATCCAAAGCTGCAGAAGTGAGACCCATGGACACATCCCCACCACGTGGCCCGGGTGGAAAAGCAGAGGCCGCAGAAAAGGGGGCCGGAGACGAGTCCGGGCGGCCTGCAGCCTGTCCCTCCCTCAGCGCCCCCATCATTTCCGCGTCCCCTCACCCTCGGGTCACCGGTGAGAGTGCAGGCAGCCCCAAGCCACAGTCTTCCACCAAACCCTCGTGCCCAGGGCCCCGGCCCAGGCTCCACGCACACCACCACGTGCACAGGCGACAAGCCCACCACGCGTAACAGCGGTCAACTTGGTCAAAAGGAGAACTACCTCAGCTTTCAGGCGTGCCCGTGATACCGGAACTCACAGTAAGGGCAGACGTGGTCCCGGGCATGTTCCTGGCACAGCTCCGAGAACCCTTGGAATTCCCTGATGAGAGGGACGTTCTGTTAACGAGGTGACGCTGGAAAGCCTGGGTCACTTGAGGGTGGGGTCAGTGAAATCACCAGTGACCTCATCCGTCCCGCCGGAGCAGCGAGGTCTCCGTTAAACCCCGAAGGGCCAGCTCGGGAGCTGCCAGGAGGTGGACACACCCTCCCCGGGAGGGCGGTGGGAACAGAGGCCCCCACGCTGGGGACCCCCAGGCCTCGCTCTCCATCTGGCCGCTCACCTGAGGACGAGGTCGCAGGAACCTCTGGCTGGGTGACCTGGGGACCTGTGGACCTCCGTCCTGCGGCTGGCGCTGGACGAGTGGGTGCCCTGGGCCCTCGGCCACCTCTGGCAGGTGGGGTCAGAACTGAGCTCGGCAGGGGGACCCTGCTGCTCCCTGTGGGGAAACCCCACGTGCGGTGACAGAAGCGTCACAGGTGACGTGCTCAGCGTCGGAGGGGCTCAGCACGGGAGGGGAGGTGGCCCACAGGAGGCTGACCCGGGCCACGTCCTGACACAACGCCCCTCCCAGACTACATCCACAGCAACTCTTACGGAACAGAACAGTGCCCGTGCGGCGTGACGTACACCTAAACCGCTCACCTAAGACCTGAGTTTTGAAAAAGATCGAGTATCTTCAAATGTCTCAAAATACAGAAAGCTGACAGTAGTGGTTGGACGAGCTTTCACAGAGGACCCAGCTTCTCTGCAGGCGAGGCCCCGGGGACACGGCCGCAGCAAAGAGCACAAAGTCCTCTTGACTCAGGGCGCACACCGCGCAGGTGTCCAGACTGGCCCCGAACGCTGCGGCCCTCACCTGGCCGTCCGCACAGCCGGTGACCGGCTGTCGGCTGCGCTGGTCCAGGAAGAGACCGAGCAGCGGGGAGGCTGTCGGACAGAACACTCAAGTGTTTAGCCCTAAAAGGACCTGATGCAGTTCTAACCCAGAATGATCAGTTTTTCTTCTTTCAGTCACGTCTGAGCTACTCCAAGTGAAGTTCTCCAGCAGGAAGCAGAAGCTGCGCGTGAAGGCGAGCTTGGAAAACCACGTGGGAGCTGCGCGTGGGGAGACAGTCTCCGTCCGGAGCGCCTGACAGAGCCCCCTCTGCCCCCGGGAGCCCGGTGCGGGCGCCCCAGCCCCTCCGAGTCACTGGCCCCACCAGGCACAGAGCACCCACAGCACGGTTCTCAGCAGAGGGAACAGTGAAGTTACGGGGTTAGTGGTGAAAACAGCAGTTAAATGAATGTGTTTTTCTTACTTGCTGCCTAGGATGTCATTCCATTCAAAATTTATTCTGAATCTAAACTGTCAAGAAATTAAAGGGCGAACTGAGGTAACTGAGCGTCTGAAGCACCGCGTGTCCCAAATAAACTGCGACGGCACCACCGTCAGCTGTGCGCCAGCTTCCCGGGCCACCAGACAAACGCCACGTAATTACCTCAGGGGAGGGCTTCCAACGTAACCCCAAGAAGCACGCTCTGTCCGTGGGACCCAGAAGTGCATTCAGGTTGTTAAGACGTCATGTTCTACGCGTGGACAGGCCGTCTCAGGGAGAATGCTGACTCTGGAGAAGGTGACAGGAGTGCTGCTGGGTCCCGGGGTCTCTGCACACCCTTTATGCTGTATTTGCACGTTATTTCCACCAAGAGCTGCCTCGTGTCGAAGCTCTGCCCCCCTCCTCCACGCCCTCTGGAGCACACAGGTGCCCAGGAGCACAGGGACCCCAGTCCTCAAGGAGCTTGGCGGGGACCCCAAATGGAGCTCACGTGACGACAGACGCTGGGGGATGCGCCACCCCACGACGGCGTGGGCCCCATGGAGACCTGCCCCACGCTGCCCGGTGCTCAGCCCCCCTGTGACTACATCCTTTCACCGACAGGACAGTTTGAGCAAAGTAAGCAATTCCCTGAGAACACCATTTCTGCCGCCCGGCTCGGTCAGGGCGGCCCCTCCCCTCCCGCACCCACCGGGTCCACCGGGCAGAGGCCTCAGCGCCCAGCCTGCTTTCTGCGGGACAGCAGAGGGGGGCCGCACTTTCCTTAGGGCTCGCCACCACACTCTTCCCATTTTCTGAAACAGGCTCCGACTCCAAGCATAGGCTTGATTTTAAGTAAGCACTTCGAGAAGATTAACTGTTAAGTGAAGTGTCTCAACACACAGATGGGATGAAGCAGCTGTTCACAAGTGACACGCAGACCCCTCCGTCACAGCTTCAGTTCACAGAGTAATAAACGCACTAGGGGAACCCGGTTACCCAGAGCCTGTGGACAGAGAACACGCAAAAGCTCCAAGCTCCCTGTTGGCACTGATGAGCTGTGCGCCAGCGATCCACACGCTGGCCCCACACCTTTGGATGCTCCCGCTCTCCAGAAGAGGTAGAAATGCCGTCATTACTGCTACAGCTTGGGCCGACACTCCTACCCAGTTGCAGATGAGTGTGTGTGCATGGTCGTCCAAAGCAGAAAGTAAGTACATGAACGGTGAAAGTATAGAAACACAACAGAAGAGATCAGAATCCTGCGCACAGGAAGAAACATTTCCAGAAACAACCACCAAGGGGTTTGAGAGACTCTGGACGAGCCGAGGCTGGAGATGCTCGCGGCAGGCCGTCACCGCCCCCGGGGCAGCTGTGGAGGGGCCGCCATCTGCACCCCGCCCTCCCGCTTTCCAAACCCCAACTCTAACCCTCACAAGCCCTGCGGCGATGGGGCCACTGCTTCCGTTTCACAGACTGGAAACGGCGGGCACAGAGCGGCTCACCTGCCAGCTGCAGGTGACAGAGGGTGGAGCTGGGGCCAGAGCAGGGGACACGACCCGTTCCAGGTCGCTTTCACCAGGCAGAAATTTCACTGGGACGACAGAAGTGTTTTTACAACCTCTCTCCTGCAGATGCCCGTTAACTACCCTCAGCCTTCCTTCCGTTACTACCTACAACACCCTCAGCCCAGCAGCGAAGCAATAACCACAAAGACGAGCTTGCACTTTCAGTCAATTTCGTCTTAAGCCCGATTTAGTTCTGGCTGAGTCTTCCGACCCTGGGAGATGGCTGTTCTGCTGGGCCCCTAGGACACACCGCGGAGGTGAATTCAGGCCCCCCAAGGCCCCGGCTTCCAGGAGGAGGGTCCCGCCCCTGGCTCAGGCCTGCCGGGAACGCTGGGTCTCCAGAGGGTGTCGCGAGCGCCCCGACCCCACCCGCGGGCCCCCACCCCACCCAAACACCAGGCTCCGGGGCAGGCCGACACCCAGCCGGCTCGGGAGGGGCACCGGCATCTACGAGGAGCGAACACAAGCCCGAGGCCGGCACGCTGGGTCCCAGCGCCGTCGGCAGCTCTGTGGGGTCTTCGACGGTCTAGCACCCATTCTCACGCCCTGAAGCTTCGGTCTTCGGACACGGAGATGATGCGGTGTGTCTGCCAAGGACAAAACTCGCCCGCGGTCCCTGGGCCCCGGTGCCCCTCCAGCGCAGCCAGTTTGGACCGGCTCTGGGAGACACGGTGAAGGAAGATGGGTCACTGAACGTTCTGGTGATCATTAGTACTAAGCAGTGTGTGAATCTCACAGAAAATAGTCTCTTTTAATACAATTCTACTTTTACACGATCCCCTGTTCCAAATCTGAAACAATCTGCATGTCAACCCGAAGCTAAAATCCAGGGCCTGAGCCTGGGCGATGTCAGGGGACCGGACCTGACCCAGGCCGAGCCCACGATCCACAGCCGCTGCCGCCTGCTTGCAGAGGGGCCCCGCTCCGCGCGCCTGCCCCTCCCTCCAGACATCCCCTTCAGCACCCCTTTCACGAGGGAACATGAAGCCGCCGCACCCTGTGTGGGACGCTGAGCGCACCCTGCCCGTCCTCGGGCACAGTCGGGGGAGCAGGTGCAGCTCCGCAGTGGAGCGCAGGCGGAGCACGCGCGGAGTCCTGGGCTCAACCCCAGCACCTCCCTTAACAGCAACCAAAACAAATTTTTTTACTAAATAAATAATCTGGTATCATCTTATTTTTTAAAAATAAGGTAATTGAAAATAAAAGGCAAGATTGTAAGCGTGTGGGAGCAGGAGTGTTACGAACATAACACGTTTCTACTCCCTCCAATTTCTGTGAAACAAAACAAGTCTATTTTCATCCTGAAAAATACTTGGTTTCCTTTCAACATGTTATGACTATATTTCATACAGTTAAAAAGTGCCCTCATCAAAAGGGGTTCAGGATTCACTTAGAGCCTTTCAGAACACGCTGCACAGCTGTCCGCCTGTGCCTCCTGTTAAGAGTACGTGAAGTCACCCCGTCCTCATGGGCCCATTAAATGACCTTCCCGGTGGACCTCCCGGCACGTACGGCCCACCTGCCGCACAGGCCACCCACCAGCCGGGAACAAGCCGCTGGCCCGCTTTCATCGTCACAGACTTGAGTGAGGCTGGGAGCCCACACAGGACCTTCCCTTTTCTGTCTTCCTTCCAACACTGCGGTGGGACGCGTCCGCCTCGTGTTTGCTCTGGTTTTTCCCCGGACATGAAGGTGGTGAGTTCTTTAGGTTTGAGGGGTGACCCAGTGCTAATCCAGTTAACTATCAAAAGCTGTCTGTCTGCACAGAACCTTTCACCTAACCCCAACACCTCTCTGCGGAAGGCTCCCAGCCCCTCCCAGCCCATGATCCCACCGCAGGACCTCACGGACCACCTTAACCTCTTCTTACACATGCACCTCAATTTCACAATTTGGGCAAAAAAAGTCTGAAGGCAGAATGTACACTCTGTACCCAAACTGCCCAGCACAGCGCCAGTTAGTCATCAGTTAAGATTCTGCACCTAACATCCTTCCTAACCTAGACTCACTGAAGTGGACACGGCAGGAAAGTGCCTCGCAGGCAAACAGCTTGTCAGCCGTGTCCGTATGGCAGACGGGAGACACGCCGCGTCCGTCTGGCAGACGGGAGACACGCCGCGACACCAGCCTGGGACGCCCGCCTCCAAAGTACGTCTCAAACGGAGCCTGAACTCTGAGACCACGGCCCCTCCAAACCCTGACGCCTGGGCCACTCAGACAGGTGACAGTACCCACTCCACAGTCACACGCAAGGTTTAAAAATTGCAGAACCTGGACAAGGCGACACATTCACTGAAACTAGTCCCAGCTACGAATTAAGGCAGAAAAGTCCAATTTTTGATGGAAAGCGAATTTCAGCAGAAGAGATAAACAAAAGCACTGCGCCGTCCGGGCCTGGGGGAGACCGCCAGTCAGGCGCCCGTCAGGGAGACACACGTTTCACGGACAAGTGTGTTCAAGGTCATCCCTGGGACCCAGGCTTCAGGCAAGGGTCTCATGATCTCATAAAAGAACAGGATCTGATTACAACGCTTCCCAACTGCAAAATAAACAAACGTTTTCCCTCGTTTCCCCTAACATCTTCACAAAAGTAAGCCCCGTTGAAACCATGAGAATGAGGCAGGCGGGCCCCAGCGCCCGGCCATCAGCTTTGCGGCCACGGGGCTCAACAGGCGTGGGTCTCACCTCGGTGTCCAGCGTGAGGACTTTACTTCCAGCACACACGGCAGCCAGGCGGTCATCGGGACTAAACCTTAAACACCGCACCTTTCCCAAAAGGGTACCCAGGACAGCCCCTCGAGGAAGGAGCCCTGGAGGGAGTCCAGCGGTTAGTGTCAGGCCAGCAGAGGCTCTCGGCGACAGCACGACCCTCCAGTAACATCACGAACACTGATGGCACAACCCTCCACTTACTCTGAGACCACGTGCAGAGTGATAGTGAGCACTGATGTGACCTGGGCTCTTTGAGCAAAAACACTGACAATAAAAGTTCTGGAAAGATGTGGAACCCAGGGACAGTCTGTAGGACCGTGTCCTCGCGGACTGTGGGTCTTGGGAGTGCACACGCCTGGGTCCCTCCTGCGCCTGCATCCACTATCGCTCCAGGCCCGGCCGTGTGACCTGCTCTGGCCCGTGTCAAGCAGGCAGAGGGACAGAGCGCCCATCTGAGTCGCGGCCTCCGGGCTTGTCCGCTGCAGGGAGGGGTCTCCAGGCTGGCCTCAGCTTCAAGTGGGGCCACTCACCACCGTGCCCGCCAGGGCCTGGCCTGAGACTCCAGGCTGCTTGTCGGGACCAAGATTATACAGACAGGACACGTGCACGTATCATCCTGATGTCTACCCTGGAGGGTGGCCACGTGGATTGCTCCATCAGCACCCAGCAAGTGCGGGCACTCCCCCCAACGCATCTCCAGGCACCAGGAGGCAATCCTGGAGCCAGAGAGAGAAAGCTGGCCTTTGAGGAAAATCTGCATGTGGGGTACAGCGGGCAGGAGGCACTCAGATACCAGTCACCTAAATAAACCATGTCTGTCGAACACTAGGAGGTGCTGAGCACTACGAGAAGTCAAAGAAGGGGTTGGGCGCTGCTGGCGGTCAGAAAGGGCCCACAGCAAAGGGGCCCCGTGAGCAGAGGCTGCACGTGACGCTCAGACCGGCAGCAAGTGCTCGGGCCCCAGGCTTGCAGTGGGACCGGCAGCCTGTCGGCTCCAGGTCTGCAGGAGGCAGGAAGACAATGGAGTCTGGAGCAGAGACTCCCTAATCAGGCCCTGATTTTTAAGGGACGTGGCTGCGGGGGCTGAGGGCAGGCTGCAGCAGGCAGTCAGGTGAGCACGACAGTCCAGGGGACACAGCCTGGCGGCTCGAAACTGCGTGGCTGCAGGGAGGGGAGAAGTGTTCACACTGACACGTGTGTGTGTGTGCTATGAGCACGCATGCACGTACACACGGGTATATGTGTTACTGCAGTGCATGTGTATAGGGACTGTG